GATCCGGCACCAACTCAATTGCACCTTTGCCGCAGCGTCCACTGAAACAAGGCGACGTCTGTCGGGCTGCGGAGGATCGAGGGGGCGCAGGCGCCGAGTAACAGTGCCCGGCTGTGAATCGGACATTGTAGCGTCACCGTTGACCGGCGAAGGAAGCGGCGCCGGATCCACGGCAGGAGGAATAGGGACAGCCCGAGGTTGAGACCCAGAAGGCTGATCGGGCGAAGCGACCGTAGGCGCCGGTGCAAGCGCCAAGGCCGCCAACGGCGAAGTAACGGCGTTTACCGCCGGATCGGCTGAAGCTCCAGTATTCATTCTCGGGGAAGATAATGGAGACGAAGAAGTTTGAAGAACGGTAGCTAAAGCCGGCCGACGATAAAATGCAAGAAATGGCCGCAAAAGCATAATCCCAGAAAGAAAATTTTCACCGTCTCGATGCCAATGTTACGTTAATGCTTATCACAACCAGTCATGGTGGTGTCAAAAGACACCGGATGCGATACACCAGCGAAGATGTAGCCATCCAGTGTACGACCCGCACTAATGTACGACGTCGCAAAAGGAAGGTCTTGAGAATAGCTACGTGAACCCCGTTGAAGTGCATAGCTCGGAAACACCTATCTGTTTCCAGGGAAATGCCCTTTCTACGGAAAAGCCCTCGTAGTACGGAAAACTCTTTTCACATCAAATTTGAAGCCAACAATTATTGGAAACTGCTTTCCGAGCATCTCCTATTGACTTAGTATCCATGGAATACCCAATCCGTCAACTTTGCAATTGAGTTCCCTTCCCTACAGTCTATTTGCGACACTAGCTGCGACGAATTCGCAACAACTGATCATTCTGTGCTAGCACACGTCAACAACGCACCAATAGAATGGACAGGAGCCACCTGCACAGGGGGTCAAAGCCCCCGCGCGGGACATGGGCCACCGATGGCCACCGTGCCCCTCAGCCAACACATTCAATGCAGACTAGGAATGCTAGTTCGTCTGGACACCCCATGTTCATTGCCACGCAGGCTGTCAAACAGCTTTGTAATACTGGATTCACATGCTACGTTACGTTGTGAAAATTTTTTGGGAAAAGTGGGCCTGAGAAAGTCACCCAGTTCACATGGGACATTACGACGACGTTGTGTTCGTTGGCGCGAGCTGTGTAAACCATCTCCATTTTATGTCTTTCAATGGCCAAAACCTCAGCACATCCCCTTAGAATTGCAATATATAATTGAAGGGTTATTGGCAGCCCTGCCTACTGCAATGGCACTGCATCCCGCGCGAGCCGCGATGGCGTTTGCCCTAGCGGTCGCGATGGATGAAATTTTTGATACCCTTGAAGATATGTTCGATGCTCAGTGGCAGAGTTTGAGCGTGTGGGCCGACGCGGTGCGGCCCATGATGCCGGAAGTGCGGCCGACTTGCCGTTTCGCGGGTGGCTTCAGCCCTGATACTACAATGGGTTACATATTGGCTATGTAAGCGGTCGTGAGCGGTCGAGCAACACGAGCGGCGTTGTCCTTGTTCATTTTCTAAAATGAACTGCAGCGGTGTGACTAGAAATTCGGTCGGAGTGCAAAGCGCGCACAATTTGTCAAATGTGTGGTCTTTATAAGCGATTGGGGTTGGCCGTTTGTTATAACTCGCGAAATTGGCGATGCAATTCAGGTAACGGTACGAGGGGTCAGCGTTTGACGAAATTCACCCCCCCCCTCGGTCACTTTAGACTTTTCGTCCACTTTACCGGTAACGTACCGTTACCATGTCCGAACCGACCACTTTTCCCAAAAAGTTTTAACGTAACGTAGCATGTGAACTGGCTATAACGGCGCTAAATGCAAAAGGTTTGACGGAAGGCGGAGGGATGGCGAAGAACGGGGGGCCCACGTTGAGACAAGGCCCTTGTTAAACGTCCAATAAGTCCGCAAAATTTATAGGCTGCCCCGGACCAGCTTTAAGCATTGTTAAATTTGTTAACTTTGAGCGCGGAAAATCTCGTGACTTCTTTTTAAATTATAATATCACCCGGTCTTTCCTTTGCTTTCCGTCTACTACCTTGACTGCTTGCCGACTTTCGCCGTTGCCGTTGACCAAGAATGTCACAGAACCAGTCGCCCTCGCCGGTTCCGTCTCAGAACTATCCTACTTCATTACACAATGCCTTAATGGCAACCATTCAACAGCCAATGCAGAGTCCGCTGCCCCGACTGTTCAGCGTTGCCGATGTCCATGCTGCTACCCAGGCCGCTCAGAATGGGCAACAACCCAGCGACAATTTGCAGGACAACTGCCGTCCTCATTTCTCTTTAATGTTCAAAAACATTTTGCTCAAGCAGGAGCGAAATGGAGCTAAAAGACGGTAAAAATATGGTTTCGGGGCTGCTAGTGGAGACAGTACTTTGTTAGGCATTGTTAGCGCGCCAATAACTTTAGTGGAGATAGTTAACAAACGTCCACGTGGAGACTCCCTGTAACACTAGTTCCAGTCGCGGTCGCTATGACAGGAAGTGCGGCGGTGCGGCCGTCCGAGTTGGCTTTCTTGCCAAAGATGTTCGGCTTCAGGAATGCAAGTAGGGACATAATTGCGACCAATACTGAGTAGAAGGTTGCTAGGCTCCAGTTGTGGATTTCTGGAATGCCTTGGGTAAGATGAATCAGCTCCTCGATAAAGCGGATCGCCAATGTTAACAGATATCGAAGGGAAATGAACCCTAGATATGTTTTCAAAGTTTACACAAGTAAGAAGACCGCTCAGCTGAAAGAACGGGAAGTTCGGAATGAACGGAAAAGGGTCTTTTCCCTTGGAAACGGCCTATCCTTTCCAGGGAAACCAGAAGGTGTTTCCGAGCTACCTAGTGAGAAGCATTGAGAGTTATGTAACTGCTCTTGCATGTTACAGTTCCGCTGTAACGGCCACTGGCCACTGGGTCACTGGGCGTTTTGTAGCTGTGTTGCTGGGGAATGCATTCCGGCTTCTAAGCATTTGAATCTTAAAGGTGCAGAGGGTTCCGATAGAGCCGATAGATGTTTACAACTGGGTTCGCGTGAAGGGCTTCATGACATCAAGGCGGGTCTCCTGTTGCGATGATGGTTTAGTGCTTAACTGCGTTATACATCATGCTAGGTAAAAATTACACATCATGATACCAGTACACCTCCAGCGACCTGTCCGCAACGACCAACGGATACAGACAGCTAATTCCATGCTGAACACTTCTTTGTAGTACTAAAAATTTTCAAGGATACCTAACACGAAAAGGATAGCTTCCATCCCTATAGATGGATTGCAGGTTTGGAGGGACCAAAGGTGGTATGTTAACCCTAGCTGCTGAATATCACCGTTCGACGCAATTACAACCGGTCGGTTAAGTATAAGGAAATTGCTGGTGTGGTTGCGCCATCTAATCATATTGCATGACCACGTGCCACATTGGATGCCGCAGAATTCCAGAACTGCTGTTTGAGATCCAGAAGGAATGAATGCCATGTGGCTACTATTGCAGCAAATCTATAACCTGAACAGGTTATCAACCGAAATATAAAGCCCGGCAAGCCCAGTGGCAATATGCTCCAACCAAAGGAGCAAACATAACTCGACATCTCCTACGGCCCCCTAAGCCTGTTGGATGACTGCGTTTTGCGGCACAATTTTACACCACAGCTGCAGAGGCCTACACGGTGTTTCATTCCTCCGCGATTCCCATCACCGGCGGCCCGCGGGATTGGCGCGCACCACCAGCGCCACCACCACCGCCATGACGGTCGACGCGACCACCCGCGACCCCCCTTCGTGCGCACACGACCCACCATCAGGCCGAAGTCCTCCTCCGCCCACGGTTACCCAGCCCCTGGAACCCTCTCCACATTGCTGGCGTATGCGCACCCTGCCTCTACCCGTCAAATCCATTCAATCCACGACATCCAATACGACACACGTGCAGGTTGCCAGCGCAACCCCGGACAGCGACCACATCCCCCCCACTTCCATCAGCCCCCCTGGCGGCAACAACACCGGAGTTGCAGCTGCTGCAGCCGAAGCCGAAGCCACAGCTGGAGGACTCTCCAAAACTCGCGTTCCTGCGGTCGTTCGCCGCCCGGACCCAGATCCCGCTGTCGCGGTGGCCCTCGCAGCCGTCGCACTGGCGGTGCTGCCGCTCCTGCACCTGCTTCGCCATGCAGAGCTAGCGGCCCGTGGTCTCACCGCTGTGATGGCTTTTTCCACAGCAGCAGCAGCAGCGGCGCTGCCTCTCACACGTCCATCTCAGGCCGTGAAGCCTCAAGTGTTATATGGGCACCCAGGCGGTGCGCAGCATCAGAAGGAAGGAGAAGAAGAAGAAGAAGGGCGAAACCGATGTTCGCAGCTGCAAAGACAGGACCATCGCGTAATGGCGAGAGTGGCAGCGAGAGTGGCAGCGACAGCGACGGCGACGGCGGCAGAGGCAGGGGCCGCAGTGACCCACGGGTCAGTCAGCGGCAGTAGCTGCAGCGATAGCGGATTCCCGGGCGTATTCATCCTGCCTCTACCACGGGAGCTCGCGCTGCAGCCCGCAGCCCTCGCGGTGCTCCTGCTGCCTCTGCTGGCCTCGGTCGTGGCAGCGGCGGCAGCGGCCGTCAGCGGTGGCAGCGGCATTGGCGGCGGCGGCGGTGGTGTCTCCGCGTCCACCGCCTGGTGGCGAGCGGCGTTTTGCTACGCTGTAGCGCTTCTGGTACCGAGTCCCGGGCCACACGCGTCCCGCATGGCTTCTGCGGCGGCAGCGGGCGTTACGGTGCGGCGGCACCGCCGCCAAGTCCTATTTAGGCTCCTAGGGATCTTTGCACTACAGGGATTTAGGGTGGTGCTGTTGGCAGTAGCATATCTGGCGGTTGTACAGGCCAGCCGGGGACCAGCTGTAGCAGCCCCGGCGGCGGCTGTAGCGGCGGCTGCGATGGCGGCGACTGGATCCTTCTGGGCTCTTCACGCTGCAGGCGTGTTGGCGACTGTCGTACATAACAGCTGATGCGTTGGGGGAAGTTGAGGGCTGGCGGTTCAGGGTCCATGTGGTTTCATAAAAAGAGGGAAAGACGGATTGATCGAGTACCGTTACCCAGAGGAGCGAATCGAGGTTACGACCAAAACATGGCAACGTCATCACGTTTGTGTGAAGTGCGGCGGCTTGTACATAGAACGCAGTAGGGATAGCTGGGAAGAGAGGAGATGCGGTTGGGGGGGAGCAAGTCGTCCAGGTCTTAACAAATGCTGGTGGACTAGTTGGCATTGCTGAATGGTTGGTAGTGATGATAGGATTAGCTTGGTACTGAACAGTTGGCTGTTGGGAGGAATCCAATATCATCAAGCACAGGCACAAGGCCTGCCGTGCGGGGCTGTTATGCGGGGCTTTGCACAGCACATTACTCTTTATGATCCAGACTACTAGCCAGGACGGTATCCTGAATCTTGCATACCCAGTCAGGGAGCCATGTGTAATCCTGCACCGGCAGGTGTATCCTCCACTCACGATCCCCATGGTGGAGCCATGCATACAGGTACGTACCAAGCCTTAGCTGTGCTGCCATCATCACTTTGCATGGCATGCAGGCTCAGCCACCGGCTGGGAGTCCATGCACGTTTGAGTTTGCGGCTGTGGAACTGCAAGATGGTCATGGTCCAACAGACATGCAGGGAGCTGGATGGATGATACATCCAGCTGCAATCGGGTTTCTTTCCCTTTAATAGGAGCCAGAATATTGTATTGGGCTGGAGAAAGCGTCTGGTTGCTTGGGGTTCTCCAGATTGCATCTACATACTGCCAGGCCGCACTAGGGCTCCTTATATAAGGAGCGTGTGTAAGGGGGCATGTGCAAACATGCTCTCGCGTCAACGAAATGTATGTACGCATGCGGAGGCCTTGATGATGCCGCATTCATGCAGAAGTAGCGGCTAATTAGGAGCGAGCAGGGCTGAGGCCTGCTGCACGGGCACAGCTGGGTGTGGCGGTGTACGCTGTGCGTGAAACATGACGCCGGTGCCTGTGTGTGTGTGTGTGTGTGTGTGTGTGTAAGTGGGTGTAAGTGGGTGTGTGTGATGTTGTGTATGGGTCGGGCGCCGGAGAGCGGATGCTGGGGCGCGCTGTGTCTTCTTTAGCTTCGACATCATGGTGTAGTATGTACGCACCCGCTGAGAGAGCAGCGCGCAAATACGCACACTGAAAAGTACATAAAGAATACTTTGGAAATAGTTTTGGATCTAAGGCTCCCCAGACTCAACCCAGTTTCCGCACGGCGTGGAAGCTGTCACGTCGTCCTTGTGTAGACTTATCAATTGAGTTTAAAGTTACAAGTTACGCACACACGTGCAGGTGTGTCCGTAAAAGCCGGGGGGGCCATGGACGTTTAAGTGAACTGAACAGTGAATGTGCTTCATGTAAGTATGTATGTACGTACGTATGTAGGACGTGTGCGTAATATGCTCTCTGGCGCAGATTGGATTGCCTGTTCAGGACTCCTTACTTGATTCTTAGGTGGTGGCATTGGATCCGTACCCGGCACCCCACAGTACATTCTCCAGAGCGACCTTCAGTATGGCCTACTTGTACCTTGTCAAATACAAGTCCTGCTCAATGGCGGGGGCCTTCCTAAAAGCCTGAGGGGCGGTCAATGGCCGTTGTTGTTGCGCAGGGTGGGGCTGTTGACAACCTCTCACACTCACACTGGGCGCGGCGCACCTGAGCGAGCTGTGTCTGCTTTCCCAGACCTGTGTATGTGTGTGTGTGTCCTTTTTTGGTTTGGGACGTATTTTGACTTCTGTATACTTGGCACCCGAAGTCCCAATTTTTACGGAAAGCTGGCCCAACGGCGGGGTTCGAACCCTGGTTCGTTGAGAGGCCGGAAGCTGAACACATTAATCCTCAATTAATCCTCCACCTATAGAGTGCCGACGATACAAAGCAAATCTCCGCATTACAGGTGAATGAAGCTGCTGAAGGGGGTCTTCGCTCTGTCAGTACTCCGCATCGAGAAAGCTCTTTTGTGTTTAAGTCCCAGATAGCCGTGGATATATAGTTGCGGCAAAGCAAAAGCCCGCGACAAGTTCCCCCACGTAGGGGGAGCTCTCTTAAGGCATCATGCATAAGTCGCGATGTTGTTTGTGCCTGTAGCAGCCGGTACACAGTACGGCTCTACAAACACGCGCGAAGCGCGACCACCAGCATCTCGAAAGGCCTTTTCAGCGGTTGCCAGCTATTACAGTGTCTCGCAACCCAATCGTCACCTTTAACACACACATACATACACACACACAGCACGGCACTAACCCCGCCTCCCATACGCCACTTCGATATGGACTGATATCCGTATATATATTGTTAAAAGTTATTATATAGTTCAACACGCAACAACTACACCAAACTGACAACTCATCGTTTCTCGACACTTATAGTCACACACTAGTACTGCGCTAAACAAAAAAAACAAATTGCTCGTCCGCTCAGCCGCTCACCCGCACAAAACGTCCTGACATGCCGCGCTCCCCACACCTCTCTTCTAGATCCGATTGGATTTTAATCCCCCGCTGTCGAAATACCCTCTGCTGTCCGGTTAACGCATGCAGTACAGATCAGGAATGAGGCAACAAGTGTAAACGTCACCTGCAAGCCTAAACGTTTAACAGCGAGAAAGACCGCTCGCAAAACGTCTGTCTATATATGTCTTCTGTCTTTAAATATACAAACTGTAACACCCACATGTACATATTTACACACACATTCACTCAATGTATATATATCTGTCAGCAACCTTCAGCAAAAGCTTTTCCCCCCCTATCCCTTGGCGACCGAATGTTGAGCTATTCGGGCGAGAGCCGCAAGCCGCAGCTTAGGGACCAACTCCTGCACGGCCGCAAGCGCCTGTGCGTGTATGTATGTATGTATGTATGTGTTTGTTGGGGGATGAGGGAAGAGTGCGGGGGAAGGAGGGGTGTGCGCGGGGTGAGCACGGGGGTGAGGCGAACGAGTGAAAGGACTGAGGATGTTATGGAAGGAGGGGGTGCGGCGGCCGGAGTTACTCCGGGGGCCTCCGCAAGCCCTCACTAAGTCTGTAGCGTTACCAGGGAAGCGCCGGTTCAAGAGGACGCCGCGAGAGGGCGGCGGTGTGCGGCTGCTTCCAACCTCCCGCCCACCCATCCACCACTCACCCACTCACCCAGACATAGAACCCCTCTTCCTTCCTGCTGCCCCTCCGCCTCCTTCTGTGCAAGCAGTGCACTGCGCCTTTCCCCGCCCTCCCTTCCCTCTCCCTTCCCTCTCCCTTCCCCCTCCCTTCCCCCTCCCTCCTCCCTCCCTTCCCGCCCTCCCTTCCCCCTCCCTTCCCCTCCCCTCCCCCTCGCTCCTCCCTCGCTCCTCCCTCCCGCCCTCCCTCCCTTCCCCCTCCCTTCCCCCTCCCTCCTCCGTCCCTTCCCCCTCCCTTCCCCTCCCTTCCCCCTCCCTTCCCCCTCCCTTCCCCCTCCCTTCCCCCTCCCTTCCCCCTCCCTCCTCCCTCCCGCCCTCCCTCCCTTCCCCCTCCCCCCCTTCCTTCCCCCTTCCTTCCCCCTCCCTCCCGCCCTCCCCCCTTTTCCCACCTTAACGTCCTTGCTAAGCCGGGCGCTCAAGTGCAAGGACACGGCATGCCGCAGCATCCACCGACACAGCGAATTGCAGTACGCCCCATCCGCAACCGACAACGGCCCCCGGCCAATGCGGTCCAAGTCAATGACGCTACCGTGGGGCGGCAGACCCAGCAACATCGGCAGCCGTGGCGCGCCACCGAATACGACATACTGGTAGTCGTACTTGCGCCGTACAACGTGACCCGGCTCGGTGAAGGCGAAGCCGTGGCGCCAGAGGCACTCCGAAACCATCTGGTCCCCGCCGGGCGCGTGTGTGAAGGTAAGAAAGCACGCCAGTGCGTCACGGTATGCGATGGAGCGCATAAGGCCCACGGAGAAGATCATCCCAGCGCCGCCGTGTGCAGTGGCGAACTGGAGCCGCAGGTACGTAGCCACCCGGGGGGGGGGTGAGTGGGGTCGCGGACAGAAGAGGTCAGGAGAAGAGCCGTGGACGGACGTGACGTGACGTAAAGAGGATCCAACAAAAACAAATCCAGAAGGATCCAAAAAGGATCCGTCCAGGATCGACACATACCAGGAGCCTCAGCATGTTGGTGACAGTTTCCCAAATCTGAGCAGTTTACAGCACCCGAGGGAAAATTCGTCGTGGCAGCAAGGCGAAGAAATCTGTCCTAAACCGGTGTTTAAAACTCTAAGCCGTCGTTTTTTATATAAATTAACTATAATCGATTTTAGCACATCCTTGAATATGTCCTTCAAGCAGCAAAAATATATATTATTCTAATCGAAATTCAAACATTGCTTCCGAAACAAAACGCACGCAGCCCCTGTCACACCCTCCCCCCGCCCCCCTCACTCCCCCACCCAACACCGCCACTGCAGCACCTACTTCCACCCTTCCATCCTCCAACCCCCAACCGCCATCCCCCAAACCTACCGTACACGGAGCAGTAGAGCCGCTCGCAACCACGGGCGCACACGCTGCCTCAGGGGTACACCCCTCCCCCTCCCCCTTCCCCTCCACTTCCCTCCCCGCCCCCTCCCTCCCATGCTTCTTCGCCTCCTTCCCCCAGCACGCCGGCTCCGGACGATACCGTACTCCGGGCACTTGTGTGGTGTTTCGTGCAAAGGCCAGATACTCCTCCTTGCTAATGCGGGGAACGGGGTCCGCGGCGGCGGCGGACTCCTTCTCGTCTTGCCCCTGTCCTTGCTGCTGCAGCTGCTGTTTTACCCGCAGCTGCTGTAACCACATTTGGTGGTGGTAGGTAGCTCGTATATCCGCCTGGCGGAGGGGGACACGGGCACAGATAGGGGTAGATGGGGAACGAGGAATGTGTGTGAACGGCTGTGTGTGTTTGGGGGGGGGGGAGAGACGGCAGGACGCGGGCGGCAAACTGCTTTTAGGGAAGAGGAAGAGTAGAAGCACAAATCGGACAGGGAGGACGTCCTGCTTGTATGGCCTAGTACGGTATTACACCACACAGTACAGCTCCAAGTTCGGGTGAGGAAAAAAGAAAAAGGGGTTTGCGGGGTTCGATCGCGGTCCTGTGAAGCGATGGCGGCCATGTGAGATGCGTCTAAGGAACTGAGCCACGGGCAGGGCGGGCTAACGGAGTGCATAAGAGTATGTATGTATGTCGCATGCATGTACGTTGCATGTATGTATGTATTCATGTCGGGTCTGCTGCACAACATATCAAAGCCGACACCGCTGCAACTCTCATATCCACTCCACTCGCACATCCCAAACCTCAGCTCAGCTGACAACATCTCCTCCTCCCCTCCCCCCCTCCCTTCCCTCCCCCCGTCCCTCCCCTCCCCCCGTCCCTCCCCTCTTCCCCAACACACCCGGCCGGGAGCCGATAGAAAGATCTTCTCCATGGAGGGCAGGCTCTGGTTGGCCGTACGGCAGGGCAGGCAGCGCGGCGCGTTGGCATTGGGGTGGCGTTCAAAGGACCATAGGTTGTCGGACAGCGCGATGGGCTGCTCGGGGTCCAGATCGAGCTGGGACAGCATCTCTTTGACCGCGTCCAGGAAAAACACCGTGTCTGTCCGGGGTTTGGGGAGAGAGGAAATCCAGTGAGGGAGAGAATCCGCGCACTTGTAGTGTTGTTTGTTGTTGCACATGTAGGTATATCTACACGCATGTGTTTCGCATTGTGCCGGGGGAAGGAGGGTGAATCAACCGAATCGTATGATGACGCAAAGAGCAAAGGGTCGACTGTTTTGGGAAGAGGAGGGCGGGTGGGAGTGTAAGGGAGTAAGAAGACGAACCACTGACGATGAACGCCGAACCCGGAGGCGGACCGATACTCCAAGATTAGACACAGATATACTGCACCAGGAATAAAATTGTACGTTAGTGAATAATGGTAGTGGGGGGAGGGAAAAGTTATTTAATTTTCATATATTTTGCTGGTTCAACCGAGACGAGCAGAGGGCAAGAAGCCTGAAGGAGCAAAACCACGGAATGGACGAACGGCGAAGCGAACGGCGCCGGAGAGGCACCGCAGCACGCAGCAAGGTGGGGTTGGCACGGGAAAAGTGGAGCTTATCGACATGGGGAGCTCTTCATCGCGGAAAAAAGGAAGCTGGCCAGAAGCAGGGATGGGAGTAAAACGCTGGGGGTTGCCTGAATCCCACAAAACACCGTACTAATGCCGTACGCCGTCCCGTACCATCATCGCCGTACAGCAGCCATTTGTAGGTGTCGCCGAAGTGCCTGCGCCGGGACGGATGGGCGTACAGACGAGTGAAGATGGACAGACATTAATTAAGACGTACAGACGTACGCGCAAGTCCTAAAAACATCTCATCGTAAACCCTCGCTTTCAATGACAACATTAAAGTCAACTGGTACTATCCGCTAAAGATACCACTTGCCGGTGCGCGGCGAAGGGCGCCGCTGCTGCCCGCGTGTCCCCCATTTTCAAGCTCCGGACCATGCCGCCCAGCTCCGGCGACCCCTCGCTCGGGAAGAAGGCGTACACCTCGGCAGCGGCTGCGCCGCGTGCGTTCAGATCCTGGAGTGGGGTCTCCGCGTCTGTGAGGAAGAACGCGCGCACGGCTGGACCGCGCCAAGCGCGACTGGCAAACGCCAGCCTGATGCGCTTCATGCAGGTACCCGCGGCGAAGATGAAATCCTCGTCGGGAATTTGGGCGCCAATACTAGCGTTGGGGGTGCCATTGAGGCCGTTGACATGGATAAAGCCATGCCTGGGCGATCCGTGGGTATCTATGGATGGAGGTGGAGGTGGAGGTGGCAGAGAAATGGGGGGAGAAGGGCCACAGTCCGTGCCGCAGTCTACAGCGGGTATGGGCCCGGGATCAGGGACAACACCGTACACGAGCAGCTCGTCTACGGTGATGTTGCGCGTAGCGTGACTGGGCTGCCATAAAGCGTCAGATAAGCTTGCTGCGCCGAGAAGCAGGATCGAGCAAAGCTTTATGAGCCAGCCCATGCGCTGACTGATGTGGCGATTGTCATGCAATAAGAATATTTTATTGGAAGTACTGCTGATTCTAAATGAAAAATTGAATACTTTTAAAATTGTTGAGAGCGTAATCGTCGGAAGGTTAACTCGATGCGGTTAGCCAGCTTAAGTTACACATCATTGCTTTGGCTGCTCGTTTACGAGTGCCTTAATTTTATGGATAGAAAAGTTGATCATCAGTAAAGAAATTTATCGTAATAGCAGCCCTGCCAGTTCTGCGCTGTAGCGCACGCACGCAGCAACTTTGCCCTTCAACACCGCAGACGGAGTATGTCTGGAAGTTGGCAATACAAACGGATGCATGCTTCCCCGTCATAAATAAATGGGCACACTATGCAAATGCCCCCATGGCAAAGTACGGACAAACGAACGCCGGCGCGATTACTAGGACGCGTATGCGCGTCTGTAGCTCTAGACATCTACATCCACGCAAACCATGCTTCACACATATCAAAATCAGACGCCCATTCGGAGTGGCTTGCAAGCTGCACCGTAACGTGTATCCACCATAAACAGAAATACATTATCTATCCGCACGCCGCACGCCTATGCAGCTATAGGACGCCTTTCTTCCCTCCAACCCCCGTTTCTCCCATTCTTCTCCTCCGCTTACCACCAATTCCAGGTTATGCAGAAAGGAGGACTACCAGCCGCACACACGCACACATAACACACATTCACACATGCTGACAACAACGAACATCGAAATCTGTACATGTGTACATGTGTACATGTGCATATGTATGTATGTATGTATGCATGTATGTAAATGCAGTACTAGTAGTCAAGTGCGCGTGCGGGTAGGCATGTAGACGGAGATCCCCATCATCCAATCGCCGATATATGCAGTAATCAAACCATTCCACCTGTTCACCATCATCATCATCATCATCGTTCCGGCCTAAACAAAATGAAAACGATTATTTGTGTGATCCTTCGCATTCGCACCAATATTTCGCAAACACTCATTTCATATAGAATAATCTTGTATATATATACAGAATTCCCCTCCATACATCGGCAAACGAAAACAGAAATAGAGTTCCCGAAGCCGGTCGGCTTGCAGAAATAGAATCATATTCACGCCGTATACGAAAGGTATTATGCGGCCCAAACAGGTTACGTGGTGTTCTAGAAGTCGGGATTCAGAATTTCAGAATGTCAAACTATTTTCATTCCGCGGCCTTGTAACAGAAAGTGTGTTGGAAGACAGAAATGGACCCGTTCCCAAAACCAGAAATAGCCCTTTTGCCGATGTCTGGCCTGGTCCCCTCACACCGGTTGGTGGTTGTGGTGGTTGTGCTGCTGCTGCGGCGGCGGCGCAATTGAGTTTTGTGGCTTTAGTAGATACGTCTCCATAAGGCCCTTGCCCTTGGCCTCCACAGCCCCCGTGGGCTCCCAGGGCTCATCCGGCGTGAGGTCGCGTGTGGCCTTGCTGACGTGTATTGCCCCCGGCACCCCCGTACTCTCCATGCGGGAGGCGGTGTTGATGGTGTCGCCAAACAGACAGAACCGCGGCATGCGGGTGCCCACCACTCCGCTCATCGCGGGGCCGCTGTGGATCCCCACACGCAGCCGCACAGGCTCACCGCTGGTGGGAAGAAGTACGGCACTGGCGGCGCGGAGAATCGCCTGCGCGGAGGATGGCCGGTGTGTGGTATCATGTACGCCGTACGGGACGACAATATGCATGCCGTACTGTACGGCAGTTACTGCATTACGCCGCCACCGTACCACCTACCCTTTCCGCAACCCTCCTCTCCTTCGCCAGAGCCCCTTCGTCTCTCCCCCCTCCCGACATCATATAACCGCACTATAACCACCACGTCTGTCTGTCTGTCCTACCTTTGCAAATTGTACGGTACGGTGCGCGTGTTGCGGATCCACATCCCCCGACCGCACCGTCACTGCACCCGTCTCCGCGTCGACCTTCATAAGGCCCCCCGCCGCCACGTAGCAATCGCCGATGGTCTCCACCTTGTACACTCCGAACGCATCCAGCATGGCGTCCAGCCGCGTGTAGAGGTCGTTGAGGAAGGACATGACGGTGGCGGGCTTCACGGAGTTGCACATCGTGGTGAAACCCTAGGGGGCGGGAGACCAGGGGGGGTAGAGGGGGTAGAGGGGTGAAGACAGTGAAAAGGGGGCTCAGAGTGCTGATGTCGTACATTTGGTGTGCGGGTGAGTTCGGATGTTAAGAAGGCTCAACACTGTGAAAACAACCTGGGGACGTACACGCTCATACACACACGCTTCTCCCCCTCCGTTACCCCTCCGTCCCCCCCAGCCACCTGGATATCGCAAAACAGTACGGTGAGGGCGCTGTGGGAGGTGGCCAGGTGCAGAAACGTGTCGCCGGTGATGGGCAGGGCGGGGGGAGAGGCCGCCTCCCAGCGACGGGTGTACGTCCCGCCGCCGCCGCCGGCTGACGGCGCCGTCACCAAACCGGCTGCCTCTGCCTCCGCGAACGCCGCCGCCTCCAGGCCCTTAAGTGTCGGCCGGGCTGCCAGGACAGAGGGACTGCCGCCGCCGCCGCCGCCGCAGCCAGCTGCGCCGTCGGCATCGTCGACGCCGTGCCCCTCCGTCGAGGTTGCAGCCGCCAGGATGGCAATGTGCTCCAGGACTGCGAAAAAGACAAGATGGGCGACGAACAAAAGAACGACGGCGAAAGGACAAAGCGACGTTGTTGCGGTTAGGGCCGGTCGGGAACATAGGAGAGCATTACGTGTGAAAAGATGGAAGGGGGACAACCTTGGTAGTTGGTCGTTGACAGTTTCTTAGTTTTACGTTGGTTGGTTGGTCTGCGCGCGCGTCGTGCGCGTCTCTCCTTCCCAGGCTGCGCTCAGTCCCCTCCCATCTCTCCATCCCGCTGCCACATCCCCCCGCACCCAACTTCTACACACTCAGACATACAGTCATACCTACAGACATACTTACAAGCACATGCCCCTCCTCCTTCCCGTTTGCCCCATCCGCCCGGGGCGTCCTCTTCCCCCTTCTTCCCCCTTCTTCCCCCGCCCACCGTGCGCCGGGAATATTGCCTCCAGGAGCGAGTGCTCCGCCTCCATCACTCGCGCCAGCTGCTGCTCGGCCCAAACCCGGGCGGACACGTCATGCTGCGTCACGAGGATCAACTGTTCGTCTGTACGGGGATGACGTAAGCCACTCACGACCACCTCATGCCATACATCCATACAGTCGACGACGCGGCCGGCGCCGAAGCCCGTGACGGAGGCGGCGGCGCCGGCGGCGCCGACGCTAGTGGCTGACGGCACCTGGTACAGCAGCGGCGATGACAGGTGCCGTGCCGTCAGCCCCTCCAGCGCGCCGCCGCTGCCTTCCTGAACTGGAGGCAGGCCCCGCCCCGAAACCAACGACCTCGCCGTCGCCGCGACGGCGCTAGATGCTGCTGCTGCTGCCCCCGCCGCGTCGCCACTCTTCCCGCCAGCTACCCCATGCGCCAACGACGTCATTGATGACGGCTGCGAGTTGAAGCCATGCCGTACAGCCAACGTCTCAGCATCGACATCGCCGCCAGCTGGCGGCGGTAGCGGGGCCGGTGAGTTAGGTCCGGCGACGGCGTCCAACGGCGGCGGCGGCGATGGCGGCGGCGAAGCAGTCGAAGGCCACCGTACCGCGTCATGGCTGGCAAAAATGCTCCCGCCGACGCCGACGCCGGCATTACGGCAGCTGCTTTCGTTACTCTGTATGGTTTGTAGACCGACAGCAGCGCTGCACGTGGCCGCCCGCTGCGTCCAAGAGGTGTGCGTGTGTGTGCGTGTGTGTGTGTGTGTTGGGGGGGATGGAGGGGGGTTGATGACGTGAAAGGTCAGTGATATGAGGACGTGCATTATGCGTAGTATTGGTGGTGGTGGTGGGGTCGTGAGTGTTCAGGTCAAATTGGAATTTAAAATTGGAATTTAAAAAATGGGAAACAGGGGGTGAATCCTGCATTTTTATGGCATTGCATGGAACTTAAAAATTCCGAAATATACTTTGAACTTCTTCGTTCCCGCAAACCCTGGGATGTGCCAGCGCGGGTTCGAGTCCCACCTTCGTGGCTTAGGGTTGCATATTCTATAGGGCATATCGCGGAATCTGCATCCGCCGATCGGTACTTTTCTGAACCCCCGGTGATGCGACACCCCCGGAGTGGGCGTGGTGGGCCTGGTGGGCCGGATGGGACATAAGCCCCACGTGCGCCGTCGTGGCGCACGTGACTGTGGACAGATCCCATCACAACACCCACCTTCCAGAATCGAGAGAAGCTCGGCTGCCGTACTCCATGTGCGGCAGCCGCTGTACGGATGCTTGGCCCAAAGCTACCCGTACGGCTATGGCACATGCCCGGACTTGCAGGTCCGCTGCCGCCGCCGCCGCCAGCGCCGCTCACCGCACACATTGCCGTACCCAGTGCTAAATCCGCCGTTGTCCAACCAACGCCGCTTCCCAGCTCTGACGTTATCATGACGCCGTTGCCGCCGCCGCCGCTGCCACCGAGCGACTGGCCCAGCCGCGATGCCGACCGGCGGTACCGTAGCGCGCGCACGGATACCTTCGTCGCGAGATCCAACATCCTCGGCAACACGCCGGCGCTTCCAACAGGCGACCTGGCGCGGCCGCTGAGGCCGCCGCCGCCACCGGTGCCGGCGGCGGAGCCGTCACTGCATCGCGTGATCGACCGGGAGCATGGCGTGGACTTTAACACGCCGGCCGCAGAATCTAGACCGCCGCTAACGGCGTATCGCGGGTGTGTCTCCTCCTCCGCCGTGTCGGCTGATCGCTGATTTGAGCGCCAGGGCAACAGATTAGGCGGTGGCGGCGGCGGCGGCGGGCCGCCATCGCCACGAGGTGGAAAGCAAAATCCCGACAGCGGGCCGCTGGCGTGTTGTCCATGACAGCCGCCGCTAAGGCACATGGCCACGCCGGCGGGCAACTGGGACAGGGACGTGCCGCGGCCGTCGTACCCACGGGCACTGGCGGCGCCGGCAGTAGCGGCGTCGGCGCCGTTTGCTGCAGCGGTCGCCGCGAGCGCGGAATGCATCGAAAACCCCTGCGCGGCAAACAATCCGCTGCCGTCACCGTCACCGTTGCCGCTGCCGTGAAATCCGTTAGTGTCCATACCGCTATTGTAGCTGCGGTACAGGGAAACGCCGTGGGGGAGCTGGTCCAGTGCGTGATCAGAGCTGGGCGACGACGGCCCGTACGGCGCGGATGTCACGGAGGCCCATATTGCGGTGTTCTGCTTCGGGCTGCTGCCGGCGCCGCCGCGGTAGATCATCCCAGCGGCGGCGGCGGCGGCGGAACCGTCCAGGGGGGGAAGCTTGTGGTCGTGGTACTGTCTGTTGAGCGTGGGTAACACTGCGCTGCACGGGTTGCCGGCGGCCGCCGCCGCCGCCGCCGTTGCGTCACTGCCGCCGCCAAAGCTACACGCCAGAGCGCGTCGCCCCTGGGGTTGCCGATCCGATGCAGCAAAGGCGGCGCCACCGGCGCTGCCACCGCCGCCGCCTTCACCAGAAGCAGTAACTGCATGGCTGCCGCCGCCGCCGCCGCTGCCGCCGCCAAAGTCTGATACGCCGCCGTCGGCCAGAGCAACGCAGGTGGCGGCGCGCCGCATGGGCCAGCGGCTGCGGGCGTTAATGCGCGCGCCCCATGTGCTGGTGGTCAGAGCTTCAAGAAGGTTCTGCGAATGAGGCAGCGGAGCGGGCTGTGCAGCAGGCTGTAAGCATCCGCTGCGGTGGCGCAGCTGCAGCGGCGACGCGGCCACCGCCGTCACTGTTGCTTTCGACGTCTGTGCCGTACTGGTGATGCCGTACGCCATGAAAGGCGTCGGCATGTTCCATTCGGTTCCTGCCTCGGATTGATAGATACGCTGTAGCCGCTCCATACAAACCTCTGCCTCCGCCTCCGTGTGTGAGGAGCCCGTCAGCACTCGTTGCCGCCGCTCCTCATTTTGATGATGCTGCCGCTGATGCCCGTGATCCTGCTGCTGCTGCTGGCTATGCTGAAAGGGCTGCAGTAGCTCCGCCGCCGCCGCCGCCCCCATGTCAGCCGTCCCTATCGCTGACGTGGATCCCGCGCGCAGCGTCGGCGCCGTCATCCAGCCCTCAGCCAGCGCCTCCGACGCGGCTGTCGCCATGGACGAGCTGGCCAGTACGTCAGCGAACTGATGCCCCCCATCCCCCGAGCGCTCACCCCGTGCACGAGCGGTAGCTGGAGCACTAGCGATGGCGGTAGCGATGTCGCCGCCGCCATCACTTTCCCTCTCCATGCAGCTGGCGGTGATGGTGGTGCAAGCCGCTATACCTTGAGCAGTTGAGCCGACGGCGCCTCTGCGTTCATGAGGCTGCAGCGGCCGCGACTGAGCGGCAAGGCTATAGCTACCCACCTCTGCAGCGGCCGCTGTGGCGACAGCAGTAGCAGCGGCGGCGGCGGCTGCAGCGGCCCCGGCTGCTGCCTGCGCTGCGGCTTCCGCCGCGGCCGCCTGCGCCGCGGCCTTCGCCGCTGCCGCCGCCCGCGTCGCTTTGAAGATGGTATCTGCGGCAGTAGCTGTAGCGACGTCAGTGGCGGCGGCCGTCATAATCACGGCGAGACCCTTGCCGCCGCCAGGCCGCCAAGCCGCGGCCGCGGGTTCCCCGATCGATTCGGGAGCTAACAGTTGCGGACCAGGCATGGCATCGTCCCAGGCTGGCGACGGCGACGGCGACGGAGGCGCTGCTACAGCCGCGCCAACTGCTGCTGCCGCTGCCCCGTGGAGGCGTAGGCTTGGGTAGGCTACAAGCTGCAGCGCCTGACGAAGCCCGGAACCGGCAGTAGCTAGGCCGTTAGCTGTGTTGCGCGAGGGCGGCTGGGAATCCAGCCCGGCGGCTTCCGGCGTGATTTGCGGTAAGGGTGAGACGGCGCCGGTTGTCGTACTGGCACGTGTCACCGGTTGCAAGGCGCCAGGCAGGGACAAGCAGCCCTGCCCGGAAGCTGGAAGCTGGATCAGGCCTGTTGAGAAAGCGGGGGGGAAGGGGAGGTTGGGTTTATGGGAAAGAGGGGGGGGGTCGGGGTTGTGCGTGATGGATTGGGTTGGGGATGGTAGGTTGAGATGAAAGGGAAGGAAAGGCAATTAAACGTTGTTGACCGTTAGCAACGGCAGAAGAAGTTCCCGCAAGGGATCTATGTTGCGCGTTGACCTGGAATGCGTTTTGTGATGAGAAGTCGTAATACATAGCCCGCACCTCTCCAGCTATGGCCAGCGTGTACGCGCGACAACGCGTCATGGAGGCTCGATGGGTCAAGCGAAAAGAGTGTTGGGAGGTCAGAGCATCCACCAGGCAGATCCCTGAAAGCTGTGTTGCTGAGAAGCAGCTTCCCTGTGGAACATTCGTAGACGCTGATTGGCTCCGGGCTCGCGTCAATAAGTGCCTGGCACAAGACTAAGCGCGCCGCAGCTGAAGGATTACCCAAGCACGGCCCAGCGTGCACGTTCACGTTATGTCTTAATGTTCCATCGTCGTTTCTATTATTTTCTGTTGGCGAGGACGTATCTTCCCCCCGTCCGACAGAATGAATGCAGGCATAGAACCAGTTCCTGAAACGCATGGGTTAACCTGATATCCTAGCAGCAAGCTGACATACAACGTCCTCTTAAGGACCTCGACATCGCGGTGAATTCCCCGCCGTCGGCCAATAGCAGTACCAAAGGTCGACCCTAAACAAAACCGAGGTGCTTTCCTGATGAGTATGGCATATCACAACACAATTCGCTCATGTACGTCTCGAGCATTCAGTAACGTTCGGTAATAAAGGTAATATCATTACGATGGTCAGCTTGGACACAGTATCCCTTACGTTTTCATTTTTTGTGTTAGGAGCTTAACAAGCTTGCACATCCCAAATCCCTCAATGCCCAGAAACCAAGCCAATCGTCTGTCCATGACGGTACGGGAAACTGAACGGGAGGGGCTTGTACGGGACAGATATCGGCAAAAAGGATATTTCTGGTTTCGGGAACTGGCGCATTTCTGTCATCATTGGCAGCCGGCGGGGATCCCTTCGGGCCGAAGAGAAAGCTTTCGTACGGGATGGTGGGCGAATGGTTCTCTATTTCTGCAAGCGGGTCGGCTTCGGGAACTCTAATTTTGTTTTCGGGAGTTTCGGTACAACCCGAAATGCCCGAAGCGTTTGCCGATACCTGCTGGGGTTTCATCTACCGGTAAGGTTACCTGTCGGTTACCGGGTCGTTATCTCGAAATGTCAATTGCCCTACCGAAGGAATCCGGTTGGGTTATAGCTAACCGGTCGGTTACCGACCCTTTTATGCCATAGGGTGGAGGAGGGGTGATGTATGCATGGAGCTCCCGAAACCTCTCCTTCCAGGAATGTTGTGACTTATAACAGTGTGTTTCCACCCGCCTCGAAGGCTGCTCGCGTGTTTCCACCCGCCTCGAAGGCGGCTCGCGTGTTTCCACCCGCCTCGAAGGCTGCTCGCGTGTTTCCACCCGCCTCGAAGGCTGCTCGCGTGTTTCCACCCGCCTCGAAGGCGGCTCGCGTGTTTCCACCCGCCTCGAAGGCGGCTCGCGTGTTTCCACCCGCCTCGAAGGCGGCTCGCGTGTTTCCACCCGCCTCGAAGGCGGCTCGCGTGTTTCCACCCGCCTCGAAGGCGGCTCGCGGGTACAGTACAAGTTCACCAACTAAACGCAGCCGCACTGCTGCGGTAGTCCATACCTGCGTATGCGCGGCGGCTTTATAACATCTCTTCTTTTACATGCATGAACAGTTTAGTTTAGTAGTCGCCCTTACCTGGCCGCCCGCCCGCGTCATTTCTTTCATTGTTCATATTTTCAGATAAGGCTCTCCCGCGACTCTCTGGTGCCTGTTCGCTGTAACGCCAACGTCTATTTCGGAACACGGTGTCGCGGCACCGCCTACCCTTTTTCCTGGGCCCAGGTGTTGACCAGCGGGGGGGGCCCCCCGCCCCACACACACACAACCTCCGCGGTTTCACTCCAGTAGCTGTGTCAGCATTTGCCGTACCCGTCGGTGCTGCCGCCGTCCTCGACGATCAACTCCAACGGTGGCGGTCCAGGTCCAAATCCTGCACAGTACATGCCACACGGCGCCCTCAATGGGGCGCTCCTCGTTTAGTGCCTGCGAGCAACTTACATACATACGTAGGAAGGGCGGGGAAAAGGGGGGGGAAAGGCAAAACACACCTTAACCACACGCCTGTGCTTACACCCGCAGGAGGCAAACAGTTGCTTTTATCGAAACAATTGCTGATCGGAATATTTACTGTAAACTCGGTGCAGAAGCTACCGACACGTGGCCGGGGTTTTACACCGCCTTGTACTGCTGTACTGCTGTCGTACCTACCGGTATGATGACGCTCACGGTTGCATTGCTGGTGTCCACACGCGAACAACAACGGGAATCTAGTACGGCACCCCGGGCAGTAGCAGCACACCAGCGACTGCGGCCTACATCATTCGCATCATGACACAGCGCCATCTTGAAAGTTTGTGCGTTTTGTGTCTATTTAGCGCCGCCATGCGGGCGTATTAATTGATTTGCGCCACGGTGTGTGTACCTAAATGTTCGACATCCGTGTGAAGTGCGCGATATGCGTCGAGAGACGTAGGGATGCCGTGTGCACAGAGTCGTACAATGTACGAAAGCTTTACGATGCAGCGAACGTGATTTGCAAAAGAATAAATGGGTTTTGGGAAGCAGGTTGGATTTGCATGCGTCGGCAAGATGAACAAGGCAAGGCGACGTGGCTTGTCGACTGGCAAAATCTTATTCCGCAAACTTGTGTCATGATCCGTGCCACGTACGATTCAATCGGTGCCAATAGCTGATATGCGGTAAGCGGGGATGGCGGCGCGCCATTGCCGCCGCTGCCGCCGCTGCCGTGACGGCCGCTGCCACTGCGACCACCCCCAGCACCATCGACAGCGCTGCCTTCACTGCTATTGATTGGTGCGTTCTCGCGGCTGATGGCCGTGTAATCATGGCCGTGTAATCATTCCCATCGGCGTTATTATCGAGGCTGCTGCTGGCGTTGGTGTGGGTTGCTGCAGCAGCCGCTGTCACTCTCTGTCACTGAGGCTGTTACAGCGCGACTATCACTGCATGCCAAAAAAGGGGTCGCACTTTTGTTGACCCAACGCGTCGCAGTTTTGGAACATTCTCGTCCAAGCATCGTCAGTCCTTCACCCTTCGTATACGGCCTGTATCTAGCAAGCGGCTATGCCACATACTCTGTAATCTACAGAGATACTGAAGGAGATTGTTTTTGCCTGCCTACAACAAGGAAATTATTATCCGGCGATTTCAACTGCTCCAGGCAAATCGAGCCACCGATCTGTTTTATTGGCCATGAGTTTGCTAAATACAAGATGTTAAGATGCAAGTTACTGCAGTTTATATAACTTGTTCGCGAGCCCGTGCTTGCATAAAATGAACGAGGTTGGTTCGTTTCGTTCGGATGCACTTTCAGGTGCACGGCAAGAGGCATTTCACACGGCGGCTCTAAGTAAACCACCCAGCTTTTACTTACAACCGAGCAGCACACACGTAACACGCAAGCGCAGCTGGCTGTCCTAAAAGCCTGCTGCTACGCCTGCCGATGACCATGTCTTCTGAAGGCTGCACCGGACACAGAGCCAGATACAGCATCTCACCTGCATACAAGCTCAAAGGGCATCAATCTGCAGTCCTTTGCTGTGCGGCAGCTGGCTCGCGGGTTGTATCCGGAGCGGAGGTACGATACGGTCTTTTCGCTCGGTGCGGTTACAACGCCGGGGCGGTGTATGTTGTCGGCGGTCAGGGAGCCCAAAAGGGGCAATCACCCTCTTCGCATCCTCTTAGCTACAGACCTTTTTCTCCTCGTTCGCCCTGGGCTATCTTTTCCATGGGCAACTTTGCTTCTTTCGCTACTGCCGGTGCTACTGCCGCCGCCGCCGCCGCCGCAGTTTAACGAATTTATCCCTAGCTAGACGAAGGGACGTAGTTTTCCTTCCGTACATGTACGGCGAAAATAACTATCTGAAGGCATCCGAGGCACTCGTGTCAAGATCCTCCGAACCCATCCCGCGGTCCCCATTCTAACAGGATGGTCAACTGCTCATACACGACCTTCGAAGCGCGCCGTGCCTTTTACCCGGTACGGCATTGCCAGACGCCCGCGATGCATCGAGGAGACCCGTGGGTCCGTCGGTTGTCCCTGCCGCCGCCGCCGCCGCCGCCGCAAGCACCGTGACGCCTGCAGCGCCAGCCGCCAAGCCGTTCGTGAGCATCACACTCCAAGGCCCCGGCGGCCAGCCTGCTGCCGTCGCCGCAGTAGCATCCAATCCACTCAGCCCCGAAACCAGCATTTTTGCCGCCGCGGCATCGCTCGTACACCACGTGGACCTCAGGACCGCATCTGTCGTACAGACGTACGGCAATAATCGGGAGGAGGTCAATGGGCTGTGCGTGAATGGCCGGGGCACGCACTTGGCTGCGGGTGACGACGCCGGGGAGGCGCACGTGTACGACCTGACTGCCGGTGCGGTGGATTGCCGGCTGGCTGGCTGGCTTGGGTGAAAATGAATTCGTTGATGTACGTATCATTAGCTGACGACGGGAAACATAAAACCTGGCCCGCGTGAGTGCTGGGTGGCTAGCTTGGGTGAAAATGAATTCGTTGATGTACGTATCATTAGCTGACGACGGGAAACATAAAACCTGGCCCGCGTGAGTGCGTACATAAATACGGCTGTATGTATGTCTGTATTCGTACATGTACATGCACATGCACATGCACATGTGCATTTTTCATTAATATTTTATAAACTAAAGGTGTCCCCGTTTGTTTCACCCACTCCGGCGCCAGGCCGTGCGTTCAAGGGCATACGTAGCGTGCATCGCAGCATCTGCTCCTCCGTGGCTTTCAGAGCCCATAAGCCCTGGGACTTGATCACCGGCGGCTTGGACGCCACGGTCGCAAAGTACGACTTCTCGAGGCCCAAATGTATCGACCGGTGGGACATGAACGCGCTCATGGCGGCGGCAGGGCCCACCGGCAGCGGCGGCGGCCAGATATTCAACCCGCCGTTCGTACATCAGGTGGCGGTGCCGCCAGCACCGGGCGACATCAGGCCGCTGTGCCAGTGGGTGGCGGCGGCGCGCGGCGACGGTGCCGTCGTGGTGTTGGACGCTGACGTCAGCAGTGCCGCCAGCGATGCGTCGGGGCCGACGACGCAGGTTATGGCGGCGTCGGCGACGTCCGCATCTGCCCGCGGCCGCAGCGGCGGCGGCCGCGTCGGCGGCGCTGGAGGAGGTGGAAAGGGCAGGTCGTCGATGCAACCTTTGGTATTGGATCGGGACGCGGGGGGCCATACAATGCCGGTGTGCTCTGTCGCATTTGCGCCGTACTCCGCCGCATCCTCCGCGGCGGCGATGGCCGTTGTCGGTGAAGGGGCGGCGGCGCCGCCGCCGCCGCCGCCAGGCTGTTGCAGACTGTACTCTGCCGCGGAGGATTGCCGGGTCATCCTATGGGATGTGGGCGCTGCGTTGGAGGCGCGGGCCGCGGGATCACAGCTCGTTAGGCCGCAGGCGGGGGGGATAGCAGCGGCCTGGAAAGGGAGGGAGGGGGGGGAAGCTGTGCATTACGGAGTGGGAGCGGGTGTTGCGGTTGCTGCCTCGTCCGGGGATGATGACGGCACGGAGGAGGAGGAGGAGGAGATAAAGGGAAAAGGGGAAGCGAGGGGGAAAGGAGAGGAGGGGGGCAGGGTGGCGGTGTTAGGGGAGGTACGGCATGGCCGGAAGGTGAATCAGTTATGCTGCATGGAGCTGGACGGCCAGGAGCTGGTGCCGGTGGCCGCTGTCAGCAAGTTTGTGGTTGTGTATCGGACAACGCCCGTGGGGATTTAATGGAGTGATGGGATCATTTTGTTGCTGTGAAGGGGAAAATGTGAGGGAAGGCGCCTGGCATCGAGGCAGGCGGCGCGATTGGAGAGAGCTGCAGACCGCAGCTGGAGTGACATAATGCCAGAATGATTTTTCCTTCCGTTCAGAAATGCACGGTCGTACATCGGCTGGTTGCCTTTTA